AACCCCAAAACCAAAACCCATCCCACTGGGCTACACCCTCAGGGTTCCGGCCTGTGAGGCAGCAGAAGGGAACGCAGAACCTAGGTTTTGGGAGTCATTTAAGGGACACTTTGCTATGCGGTTATCATACGGGGTATAAAAAGCGGCTTCTGCTGTCTGCTGTGGTGCAGCGTGCAAACGAGTCCAGGAAATTGGAACTTTCGTGGTCACCACCCAGACTCAAGAAAAGCACGACTACCCATAAACCACAAATCTGAATCTTAAATGCAACAGAAACTCCCACATAAATGACACAGAACACAAGATAGTACCCTTGGAAACCTTTCTAGTACCCTTCGGCCGATATCGCCTGTCCTCACGACCGCTAGGCCAGCGAGGCTTGACCCTCGCTTTACCTGCGCACCCAAAATTCCCAAAATCCTGTGATCAAGGACTACTTCTTGGGTTTAGGGTTTTGGGGTTGGGGCTCCACGCGACTGATCAGCGGTCGAATAGGAATCCAGAGGCACACCTCAAAGCATAACCTTCGAATTAGCTGAGCCTAAACCCTAAAACATGTCTCTACAACTCGAAACCCCCGTGAACCCCCTTAAAAGCCCAATACGAAAACCCCTGAACCCCCTCAAAAGCCTAACAAACACCCGAAACTTAGAAACTTTCGGATCTCCGTGCATGTCAGCGGCGTGGGGAGCCACACGTCCGCCTGGAGAGCCTGACGCGGAATCAGCACCATATCCTGCCAGTTTGGGGGATTCCTTAAATGGTTTCATAGGGCCCTCTACTTTTTTATTGTGCTTTGCAGAGATGTTGCTGGGTTTGCTAGAAGTTTTATGGGTTTTCTGTAAGAGCCTTGGTTGGAGTCGTCAGGTTTAATAATGGTTTGAGGAGGTTTCAAAGGGTCTCTATCGGCTTGTTGAAGGGTGATCAGCAAATGCTTTAGCATCTCGACGGTTTGTGTGTCCTGACCTAATTAACAGATGTAGCAGCCTTACTCTACTGACAAGTTAAGCTGACAAGTTTCGTTTCAAGAACGTAAAAAGCTTGGTAATTGGGTCTTGCAGAGCTCAGCCCGTGCATGTCACCGCGCACCCCTTCTTTCCGCCCTTCTCTTTGACAGTCCCTGCAGGGATGTTTTGAAACCGATTGCCCCGAAATGCTTACAAAAACCCTATGGCGCCCTTGTAAGCCTCAGAAAACAATTACAACAACCCTGACTCTCATACAAGCATTCCGACAAGTCCTCCCCGTAAGCGATTCATCTGCCTGGCTCTACACCCTAGAACTCCTGAAACCCCTGAAAACATTACAACCCTTGAAACCCCTAAAACCTAAACCATAAACCCTGAGCCTGAATTTCGTAGTTGTACTCGGCTTCACCCAGCCTCGGCGGAGGACTGTGACAATGCGCTTTCTTAGGGCTTTAAACAGGCTTTCACAGGAGTTTTGAAAGGTTCTATTGGACTTTTTTGGGGTTTTTGTGAGGCTTTGCAGGAAGTCTAAGGCTCTTCGGCCCAAGACCAGACTACGTAAGGCTTTATGTTGCATGTGGAGGCTTCAGAGTGTTGAACTGCAGGGTGTAGTGTAGGGGCTTCAGGGCTCTATAGCTTTCGGGGAAGCCCTGATTGAACCCGTGAACCCTTGCTTGACACCAGAAACACCATCTTCCATGAAAGAACCTTTGTCTCGTGGATGCTTCAGCCCTCTGAAGGGCTCGGGGTTTAATATTCAAGGGCTGAGATCGCAACCCAGCCCACCACTTCGCCGCGATGCAGATGGGCGCCGACGTATACCTGGCTGGCTTTAACAAAACCTGAAGGTTAGGGAATTTCCTGTGACGCAGGGCAGCAGTCAGCTTAGATGATGGAGGAGTGAGCTCTGGTTCGGAAAGGGTTCAATACAAGAATGCCGCCAACTGTGCAGGCTGCTATCTTAGAAACATATCCCCAAGCCAGTTCAACGCACATCCACTATCCGCAGAAGACATGCCAGCAATGCCACAGGAAGGTCAAGAGAATGGCGAGGAACTGGAGCGTACGAGAACTGTCTTTCACATCGGAATCTGGGAAGCTGGCCTCAACTACGTGCTGAGAACCGGGCCACATCCGAAGTGTAGTGGAAGCGATTCTGGAGCACCATCCCAACCTCAATGCCTCGGGGGAAGGCGAAGGCTTCTGTCATGTTCATCATTACCACGACTCTTATAAGCGGCAGTTCGCATGTCATCTTCTGGGAACCTGTTCGTTTATCGCGACTGTTGTCATGATTGCTGCTGGTATTAGCCGCAGACTGGTAGCCGTAGCCGTCATCGCGAAAGTTGTAGTCGTACAGTGGAGCAACAGTAGTACCCGCAGCAGCAGTGGTAGCAGTCGTAACACTGGCAGCAGTGGTAGCAGTAGTAGCAGCGGTGGTGGTGGTGGTGGTGGTGGTGGTGGTGGTGGTGGTGGTGGTGGTGGTGGTGGTGGTGGTGGCAGCAGTAGCAACAGCAACGCCAGTAAGATTAGAGCGGATGCAATAGCAGCACAAGTGGATCTACTCCTCTTGTGGTTTTGGTTGGTAAGATTAACACCACTATCACGAAATCTGCACTGGCTACCCCGGAAACATCAGGTTCTTGTCGCTGCGGAAAAACTGGGATGCCGACTTTGCTGCGTCAGACACGCGATGTACCTCGGCTCGGAAGTCGGCTGAATGCTTGAGAGTGTCGCGATTGTTAAGGGATGAAGGTTTACGAGTGTGGCTTATGAGGTCCGTTGCCAAATGCTAGCATTGCAACTTATTCGAAACCGGGCACCGAATACTGCTGTATGTACACATTACATGCAAGTGTATACGCATACGGTATATTGACAGATAGGGCCTATTTCTGGTACTTTGCAGCTTGTACACTCATAGCTTACTGTCGAAGAACGCATTTCATTAGATGTGCTCACCGCAAGGTACAAGTTTGCATGCTTCGAATGACTATTGCCTCACAGTATCCAGACATGATACTCCGCGAGGTCATACACCCGAAGACTACGCATCTGTACAAACGGGTGTGTGAGCGGATATATAGAAACATCCATGCCCGGGAAGTCTCCGTCATAGTTTCGTCGCATGCGCTGTCTACAGCCAAACGGACGAGGAGCATGTTCCCAATCCTGGTAGGACCAATCCACCCGAGTGACGTTGAGGTTAGACTACTATACCTCTTCCGGGCGATGGCCTCGTGGAGGAGCAATTGCACAACATGGAGTGTGACAACATTCGGCCCGGCACAGTATTGAATACATGGGTGTATATTCCCTACAGAGAAAGATAACGGTATAGTAAAGTACAGATGCAGATACAAATGCAGATATAGATACAGACATCGATATAGATGTAGACATGGATACAAATGGAGATATAGTATACGGGTAGAAATCCAGATATCGATATACACACAGAGATGGCGCTGTGGATTTTGTGTGCTGGTCACCTTGGCAATGATACAGTATTCTGTGTCATGAACCTATGGCGCGGTCGACAAATTTCTTCATTGTTTCACGGTGCAAACTTTACGCAAGCATTCTGACATGTAGGACGAGTTTTGCGACACATGCCTTTTCAAATGAAGTGACGCTGTTATGGCTGCAATAGAAACCTGTTATGTCAGAGATGTGAACAAAAGCATGTACGGCTACTTGCCTTGAGTGTTAAATAGCTCACGATTGCACCAATACCTAGTATGCCTCCTCCTTAGCTGATATACTGCACCATACGAAGAAGGATTTCATGAGTATACATTAGTGTGTCTGTATATATATATATATATATAAATTAAAGTATGTGTCAATCGACGGAATATTTTTGTCTGTATCACTCTATGCTGCTATGCTTTCTGGCTCACTGGTACGTACGACAAATGCCTGTGCAAGTGGACAACAACACAAAGCTCCCATGGCTTTATAGTACGTCTCTGCATCTTGCCGGCTGCTAAAATGTAAGAGCACATCACACTATACAGTATTAGCCTGCTCTTGAACAGAAAACTTTAGGGGTCTAGTATAGACATACATGTATAATACAAGCTGACACTTGTGTATCTGGTGTTTGCCATTGTGACACTGACATGTATTGTATAGTTGCCCTTACTACTTTGGAATATGGCGGCTACTACAGCATATGTATGCGTGAGTAGGATACACTTGAATATGCGCCATTGCACACGGCAGTGGAACTAGTATGTTGGGACTGTAAGCAGAGAAGCTCGTCAGTACTAGAACTAGGATTAGAACTTCCCTCAACTCTTGTTCTTTCGCACCCCAGCCCTTCCAATGTAGTTGACCCTTTCATCTTCTGGTACATGCTTGCACTGGTATAATTCAGACACAGTCTGTCTGGATGCAGCTCGGCTGCAGGGCAAGCATGACCATTCTCCTCGGCTCAGCTACAAGGCAAGAACATCATCTTTGGATGTCAGGAAGCATTTGAAACAGCTGGACATAACAGCGGCAACATGCCAACAACAGTTATCACAGCAAGCCAAGCCGTCACAACGAGATGTATGCCTGTGCAACGTATGAAGAAGATGACTCAGTCTCTGCCGATGTCGCTCACAAAAGCACTGATGGTGATCAAGAAGTGTAATTTCCACGATGCTGCTGGTGACGATAGCGGACACCATGCGATAATATTGCTATAATCATGATGATGTCTCCGGTTCCGTGGCAACGAGAGCAAACAAGTCCAACGGATGATATTTGTCGTTGCCTTTTTGTAAGCAGAGTGTTGGTCATAGCTGGCTGCCCTTCTCTCTTGGAGCTGCATCGCTGTTGATCTTGTAGCCCGAAAACAACCACAACAAAACAGAAAGTTCGGCTCGTTCAGACTTTGTCAACGACGCTGTATCACACCAACTATGACGAAAAACTCAACCACCACGAGTACCGATTGTCCTGCTGCGACTACTCCAGTACTACATCTGCTGTATACTACTACTGTTGCTACTGCTGCGCTGCCATGCCGAAGATCACCTGCTACTTCTCGAGGACTACTACGTTCCATGACTTCCATTGCCACCCGAGTCTCTGTCGGAACGGCTTCTTCACATAAATCGGGGAGTCAGGCATTCTGATTGCCTGAATCTGTGACAGCTTTGAACAGGTGTCATGGAGCTTGTAAAGCTCTCCTACGATTACGAGAACCGGTACCGCATGTCTGTCGCAAGCAATCACTCATCAAGCAAGCTCACATGTTTCCTCTGCTCATCGACATCTTTAAGCCTTTAAGCCCTGCATAAACCCTAACCGGCCCTAAACCCTGACACCCTGCAAATTCTCCAAACTTTCTCGAAAAGCGGCTTTGCGCACAAGCTCGCAAAGGGCCAAGATATAGAGGATAGTGAAGTAGGTGTGGCCGGAGTAGAGCATGTCCTGGGTAGGATTTGGGGCTTGTGGTTTCGGGTGTAGGACAGCCTATGCTGAGACGCCACAGTATGCAGGGAACACAGCTCTTGCTGTTCCACTGAGCAAACTCGCAGGACGCTGCTCAGATCAGACTGCAAACCGAGCAGGGAAGCTTCCAGTGATGCTGGCCGCCCCGTTCCAGCCAAGCCACTGCGCAAAAGCGCATGCCAGCTCCAATCCTAGAAAACATGTCGGCGGTTGCTCTCGCCCGTTCAAGAACAGGTGCAAAGGCTGAGGCTGGAACCGATTCTGTTCAGGGCCAGCCAGCTCAACTCCAAGAATCGCCATGAAGGTCGTCCACCTTCAGAAAACTACGTGCTTTGGAAATCAGACGGAGGCCCGAGGAGGGGAGGTGAGTGTGTGGAACATGTCGCCGAACCTAGAAACGACATCCTAGTCGGAGTCGACGTGGTCCCGTCGTCGCGGCCGTCGCGGTTGTGGTCGCCCTCCCGCCATGACCATCGTCGTTCGTGGGCCGCAGCGTCATGGTGTTGTTTACAACCGCCGTCGTCTTCGTCGGGGAATTGGTGGTGGTGATGATGTCAAGACACACTTCCGACAAAATCTTAGGAAGGAGGTCGAACGAGATGGAGATGCGCGGGGAATGGACAGCTCCAAGCCCCAGACTCTCGGTTCAAACGATTGAAACTCGTTTTCAGCCATGCTAGCAAAGGATCACGGACTGAGCTTCAGCCCCGCACATGCCGTGGATGCTAGGATCCGGCACCTCAGATCTTAGTCGCTTCTTTGCTTCTTCACAGGGCTCTGTTGTGATTCTACAGGGTTTGGGGTTTAGGGGTTTCGAGTGATAAGTTTCGGGATCAGGACTTAGGTTTTGGAAGTTAGTCCAAAGCCTTCATCTAAAACCTTACGGCAACCCTCAAGGGCTCACGCCCCCCATGAAAATTTCGAGAAAGCCTGAGTCCCCGAGCCCGGTTCATGAAGAAGTCGACGCCAGACGGGCCCAGACGTTCCTGCCAGGGATTTATGACTTAGGGTCACATTCATGGACGCATCGGGATTTTTTGGGCAGATTTAAGAGATTTAGACATCGGCTCTCTGCGGGGCTTTAGCACTTTCCTGCACGGTTTAGGGTTAGGGCTTGGATGTTTTGGGAGTGTAGAGTTTAATGCAAAGCGGAGTCAAGGCTGTCGACTGCCTTGCAGTTTGCCCAGCCAATGCTGTCAGGCATAATGGTGACCACGCCGAAGACGCCTTTGCCGACTGCCAGAACCTAAGATGGCTTCCGTGTTTAGATCTGCAGGGTTTGCAGAGTACTCAGTGGCTAGACCGGCAACTGCAAAAGACATCCTGATTACACGCAGGCTGCTTCCAAGTGGCTGAGTGGCTCAGGAGGACTTTCGTCCACTGCTGCACATCCCGCAGGTAGACTACCTGCTGAATCACGTTGGGAAGGGAACCATAAATCCGAAACCCTCAGCCCTACCCTGAACAGTCCGAGCACGGGGATGAAAAGCGGAATCAACAGCTTAAGGATTAGGGTTCAGGATCCGAAAGCCCGAAAACGGTAGGCCCTAAGAAAACTCTGAAACTCTGAAGACAGAGGCTGCGACCGTGAGGAACCACAGGAAGGGGAAGAGCAAAGCCACCCCGTCCAAGACCTGCAGTGGGTTTGTTGAAAGACTTTAGGATGTAGGGCGTCGGGCTGTTTCAGGGCTTTATAGAAGCATGTTACTAGAAGTCTCTCTGAGTTCTGAATTTCTTTACGGGTGTCTGAGCGCCTTGCAATGGCTTCTTAGGTCTTATGGATTCGGGTCGCTGGGTTTCGGGTTTCAGGCCTGAAGCTTCGGGTATCGAAAAGTTTAGGATTTAGGGTTTGGGGTTTGAGGGTTCCGGGTATCGATTTTGGATTTTGGGTTTAGGATGCTTAGGTTGAGGGTTCTTGAAGGATGACAACTTAGAAGGGCTTTCAGGCGTTCGGGGGTCTTAGGTTTTTGCGGTTTGAACGTCTTAATTACAGCTTAGGGTTTCGGCCTACGGCTGGCAGGAGCTTGTTTTAGGGAAACTTACTAAGGATTTGTTGTGCGCTGTTGTGCCCAGGCATCGCTTGCTCCTCTTTTGGGCCTGTAATGCTGCGTTCTGCTTGTTCTCGGGATGTCCCGCCCACGAGAACCGGAAGGCAGACGAAGTTACTCATACAGACTTTGCGTTGACGCTTACGACAGAAGCACTAAACTTCATAAACCCCAGACCCTGAAGCACCTAAACAGTGAACGGCGGAGGAGCCTGGCCTTCAGCGGCACGTGCTTGAAGCCCAGCCGCCTCAACGCGCGAAACGCTGCAAGTACACGGGTTTGTAGGGACGGGGGCCCCAAGTTCCTCGACGGCACCCTGAATATCACGATCCCGAAAACTCACCTCAAACTTTAGATGTTCGAACCCTCCAATAACCAGGTGTGACTTCGGCAGCTTCTCAGGCACTGGCGCAGACAGGGGGTCCTGGGGGAAGGACAGGGCTTTGAGGCTAGGGCGTTGGACTTCAACGGATTTGGGGGTTTCCGAAAAACCCTCATGTAGTACCCTAAATAATAGGATCCTTACAAAAAGGACCCAAAAAATGAGGTACCCCCTTGTGTTCGGAAACTCCCATGTAGGGGTTTGGGGCTCACCTTTCAGCGTTTCGCTGTGGAGCGGGACTCCTGCAGCGAGGCGTAGGAGACTTCGTCCGGGTGAAGGCTGTTGGAGAAGAGCCCCGGATGCTCCTCCTGCCAGGCTCTCTGGTTCTTAGTGGGGAATGGGGGAATGGATCCCAAAAGAAACACCCCTATATAATCCCCCAATAATAGTCCCCAATATCCATTCCCCGTTCCCTGCTAAGCACCAGGCAGCAGGCTCCGCGAGGCTCCGAGAGTCACATTCAGCAGCTTCCCCTTCCCGCCTTGTAGTCGGGATTCCTGACGTACCTTACGACTCAGACTGACAGAATCTGAAAGGCAGCCACTCTGCTAGAGTCGGCTAGGTCAGCTCAGATTCAAGTCCGAGCTTCGCCTTCTCAAACCGCACGATCCCCATGACGTAGTACCAGGTCGCCACGTGCAGCATCCACATGCAGAGGACACTGGCGATACCCACGAGGATGAAAGGCACCAGCCACTTTACCTGAGCACCCACCGCAACCACTCTGTGTCGACAGCTGGGCTTCGGTAGATCAAAAGGGAATACGGCAATAAAAAAGCTCAGAACGCGTCTGGGAGCTTGGTTCTGCCAACCCCGGTCAATGGTATTAAAGGGCTTGGGATCGTTTCATTCCCCCCGTGCCGAGGACCTCCGTAGCGGTTGTATCGGCCTAAAAGCCTACTGCCAAGAGCCCTAGCCGAATAAACCAATCCCTGAACCACACCGTTGAGCCCTAAATATCCATCCACCAACGCCACAAAACCTCGCCGTTACCAAGAGCCCAGAGTCCCCCACCTGGATTTTTCCGCAACTCACATCCTGAATCCGAGGCCTCCAAAACTCACTAGCTCCGAGCCCTGAAGGCTCTGACTCGGGAACCCTGAGGCACAATACGACTACTTGATTCGAACTCTATGAAGTCCGACATCCCCAACCCACGACTAATCTGTAAAAACAAGAAACCAGAAGGGGATACTGTGAGTATTCCGACGCTCTCGGGGCACTGGGGCGTTCCAGCCGTAAATGTTCTAAGAACGTCCAGGGTTTAGGTTTGGAGCTGCGTGGGATGCTTCTCTTTCCTTAGTCTTCTGGGAAGAAAGGGTTCCTTCAAGGGGTCTATAAGGCTTCTATAGTCGGGTTCTATAACTTGGGGGGCCTTTGTCATTACCAATACTGAACTGTTTTGGGGGGTGCCTTTTTATAATATGGGGCCCCTAGGAGAGTGCCAAGCTGCCCATCGCTTGCCCCCCACCTGCCGTGCTCGGCCCGCTAGCCAGAGGCAGTTTCCGCTGCCGCCGGCTTCGGCCTCTTCGCCCGCAGCGGTTTAGGGTTTAGGGTTTAGGGTTTAGGGGCAAAGAAATCATAACAAGGAACCAGCACCAGCAGCAGCTGCAGCGCTTGTGGACGCCACTATGCTCAGTACAGAACATGACATCCACATCACAGACAGGTGCAAATCTATGCATGTGAACATATTATGTCGGTGTGTATGTGTATGTATGTGTATGTATGTATACGTATGTGTATGTACGTGTATGTACGTGTATGTATGCGTATGTATGCATGTAAGTATGTATGTATGTATGTTTTCGTATGTGTATGTATGCTTGTAAGTATGTATGCTTGTATGTATGCACGTAGGTCCGTATGTTTGGATGGATGGATGGATGGATGGATGCATGCATGCACGCGTGGATGCGTGGATGGACGCATGGATGGATGGATGGATGGATGGATGGATGCATGCATGCATGCATGCATGCATGCATGGATGGATGGATGGATGGATGGATGCATGCATGCATGCATGGATGGATGGATGGATGGATGGATGGATGGATGGATCAATCGATGTGCTTGCGCCTGTGTTGTCGTGTATTGATCGGTCTACCTACTTGTTTGCTCAGTTACCTGTTTATAGGTCTGTATACAAAAGTACAAATGGAAACGGCGCATGCACACAATTATGAGGGTCGTGCTTTGCCATGACTCTTTGATGCTGGCAGTGTTTCATGTAAGCTTCTGATGCCGTTATTTCAAGTGGCCATAAGAGTAGGGACACATACATGCATACCAATACGAATGCAGGCAGAAGATGCTCAGATAGGGACAAGCCGAACAGAGAGTCAGACTTACGACGGAAACAGCAATGACAACGATACGAAAGACTGACATTCCTGACGTTGTACTGACGCTGCCACAATAACATACATCATTCCATTTACGTCTGACATGGACCCAACGAACCTCGCTGTCTGTGTCGCTGTCCTCCTGTGAAAGAGCAGAATCAGAGCTCCAAACTACCGAACCACAGTACATCGTAGCTTTTCAACTCTACATGCCACGCTTTTCGGTTTAGCGTTGACAGGCCAAGAGCTTAAGCTTTACAGGGTTGAGAGTGCTGGATTCTAAAGGCGCAAACCAAATGACCCTCAACTCTAAACCCCTGAAACCTCATCCCTAAACCCTCAGCCGTCAAGTTTACGTTCGACACTGCAGGTTTCAGCGTGCGAGATCTCGCCTTTTAGCCGGAGCCTCGTGGACAAAGCCTACAAGAGCTTCGAAAAGAACGGGATTAAGTTCAGGGATCAGGGGTTAAGTTTAAGGCAAAATGTTGAGAATTTAGGGTAAAGGGCTTAGCAAATAGGGTT